AAGTATTGTAACATAACCGTGCACTAAGTTGATCTCCTCTGATGTAACCATTGCCATAAGGGGGTTGGAAATTTCATCAACAACATATCTGTGGATACCATGGCCTTGAGATCATTAATGCATGTGCGTCCAAAGATGACATTGTATGCCGTTGGGCAATTAACCACTAGGAAGTTAGTGGTAGTGGTGGCTATGTAAGGGCCTGTACCAATGGTGAAAGGTAAGCGTATGCTCCCTAAAGGTTGCACGATATCATCGGAGAAGTTTATCAGAGGAGAAATCGAGCGATCGAGCAAGTGTTCAGTAACATTAAGTGCCTTGAAAGCTTCAACAAACATGATATTGACTGAAGCCCCCGTGTCTACCAGGATTTGTCGTACTTCAAAGTTGGCTATGTGAGCTTCCACGATTAGTGGGTCGTTGTGATGGTAGATGATACCTCTTTCTTCCTTAGGGTAGAAACATATTGGATCCCAATTAGGCTTTTGATACTTGCCTCCCCTGATGTCTTCCACGTGAAACCCTTGGTGGCCAGGCCTTAAAGCTCGTTCACTGTTTTTCATGGCCCTGTTGGAAGATTTAGATATGGGTGTGCCACCACATATGGAATATATCACATTCACTTGGCATCGATTACGATTACCCATTGGAGGGTGGAGGAGGAATTGATCAATTTTTTTTTTCACATGCCAAAGCTTCAATATGATCACGAAAAGTGATACACTTCTCGCCGTCATGGCCATTATGCTCGTGGTAGTAGTAAAACGTGTCCGTGTTCTTCGTGGGCTTGTAATCCGGGTGCCTCGGCTTTGGCTTCGGTATTAGGTGTGTTATGCTGGGATAAATGGCCACGCATGTGGCGTTCAAAGGTGTGTATGCCTCATACCTCGGGGTAGGGCCTGTCTTGACACGTGCTTGACCCACTGTGTTGACTGCCTGGGGTCGAGGATTATCGTGGCGATACCCTTGGTTATCGCGGTATTATCCCTTACTCCTTTTACTAAAATGAGAGTGGTGAGGATGGAAATCTTTCCTTTTGCCCTGAGATTGATATGTCTGCTGACTTGACAAAGTATTAAGTAAGGCAGGGGGAGGCACTGCTGCCGTTTGGAAGGTTGAGGTATTCTTATTTGGGTGGGTCTGGCTTCCACTCCCCACTTGCTGATAAGGGATGGTTGTTGGGGGTTTCTCTTGGTATGTCCTTGCCTCGGCGGAGGCATGGTTATAAGCCTGCACCATTACCTCAGAGTAAGTCTTCCAAGTGTTGGCATTGATCATGTACTTAAAGAAACAGTCACGTAGGCATGCCGTGAAGGCTTTGAGGGCAGTCTTGTTGTCTGCCTCGGCATAACGGGATTACTCATGGCTAAAACGGCCAGCTTACATACATAATGATTCGTCTGGCTTCTGGCGAATAATGTACAAGTCATCCGCAGAGTGCAAGCGATCGGTTTGGAAATGTGTTGAGAAACAAACAGTTTCCTCAATTCCTCAAATGAGTCTACCGTTTCAGGTGGAAGACGACAATACCAGTTTAGAGCGTTGCCAGAGAGGGTGGAGGGGAAGAGAAGACATTGCTCTTCATCGGTGTGCATCTGGTATGCCATGGTAGACTCAAAGAGGTTAAGGTGTTCAATCGGGTCTTCATTTCCAGTGTAGAGTTGCAAGCCAAGCTTCTGCTTTGTCTTTGCTTGGAAGAGGTGTCGAGGATCCTCCTTGTAAGAAGGCCAGGCCTAGGTTAGTTCCAATTAGGTATCTCAGCTTGTCGTTCGGCCTTCAACTTGTTTACTTCCTTAAGGAGCTGTAGGACAAGGGGGTTCTGAGTGGAGTCATGTACCACTGAAGCTTTCTTTCCTAAATCTCCATCTCCTCAGGAAGGTTTGATCAAGAACATGTGATTTTTCCCTGGACTCACCGTACTGACTTCCAAGGTATGTCTGTTGGAACATTTCTAAGTCCCCTATACCTTCGTGTTTCTTTAGGACTTGTTGCCCCTTCCCCAAATTGGTAGCTGGCCTGGGACATGGGAGGGGACCGAGTCTTTCAGAGACCCTTGGGTCATTGATCTTCGAGCTTACATGGATGAGATTAGGGCTGGAAAAAAATCCCAAAAATACCAAACCGAACCGAAATTTTCCCGAAACCGAACCGAAATATTCCCAAACCGAAAAATTCCCGAACCGAAATTTCCCAAACCGAAAAATTCCCGAAATTTCGGTACGGGAATCGGTCTCATGTTTTTGGGATTTCGGTATTCCCAAACCGAACTGAAAAATACACATATATATTATTTAATTTTTAAATATATAATTAGAATTTTAATAGCCGTTGGATTATGTTGAGATTTAATCTCAGCCGTTGCATGTAAATCAAAGTTATCAACCCCCCAACCCGTGTCTGACTCTCTCTCGCTCTCTCTCTCTCGGTCTCTCAACCTCAGACCTAAAACCTCACCTCACCTCACCTCAGTATCTTCTCGCCGATTTGTCTCTCCTCCCACATCCGTCGCCTGAATCCCGAATCTACCCAAACCAGTCGTCATTCCTCTCAGTCATCACTCCTCACCTTAATCGCACCTTTACCCACTGTCCTTACCATCCGAATTCGGCTCCTAAATCGAGCTTTCGGTCTCATTCCGCACTCCTCCTCCTCACTGCAAAAGGTAAGAAATTCCTGCAATAAACTCAACCAAAGTTCATACAAATTGTTTGATTCCAAATTCGATTAGAAAATTTGAATTTGGGTTTCTGAATTAGGAATTTCTGAAATTAGGGTTTCTGAAATAGGGCTTTTGGAATTAGGAATTTTGAATCGACGGAGAGGTTGCAGAGGGAATATGAGAAGTTAATGGAGTGTGGTACAACTTACAAGCTGCTGTTGTTATTCCCTTGTTTGTGTTAAATTAAATATATGAAATCTGGTTCATATGCATTCGAATAGACCGAGGCATTTCGCTTCTTTCTTTGTTTGTTTTATATTCGTTTTGGGTGAGGGGATGAATGAGGGCCCTGGGTTGTAAATGGTGTTGATTAGTATTGGACTCGGAATATGGATTAAAAACATATTGATTGCAGGGAAGTGGATTAAAAAGTTAGTCTAAAATGTTACCATGATATATCAATTTTCTTTTGTTGTCCATATACAGATTGTTAACTATTACATATTTGAAAAAATGGTTTCATATTGGAGATTCTCTTAAACTTATTTTTCGATTTAGCAAGCATTGAGAACTTGTTTTTGCTCTTTTCTTTCTCTTTGAAACTTCTAATGACTAACTGATTAGATCCTTGAGCATTTGCATAACATTATCTGTGCACAGCTATTGACTATTGTGCACAGATTCAGATTTCAAATTGCACAAATTGCACAAATTGCACAGATTGCATATTTTAGTCTAACAATAGATTGGGCCGCATATTGGCATTCTGCCCAAAAGCCCAAAATTTCAATATAAAATGTTGAATTTTAGCCCAAAAGCATAATATGTCAAATTTAGTCCAAAAGCCCAAAACCATTTCGGGATTCCCGATATGTCCCGAAATCCCGAAACTATTTCAAGATTCCCGAAAATTGGGATTCCCGAAAATTTGGTTTGGGATCGGTATTGAAATTGGGATTCCCGAAAATTTTGGTTTGGGAATCGAGATTAGGGTTTCGGTATGGGATCCCATACCGAACCACCCCTAGATGAGATTGTCTCTATGTTTCTTTAGGAAGTCTCGACAGTCGTGAAAGACGACTTTCGATCCTTCCACTCCTTTTGTAAGGAGGCACCTTCCTCCACTCCTCATGCTTCGGATCGAAACAGCTGGGTTAAGAGAAGTTTCATGTTGGTCGCCATTTCGATGAGTAGCTCGCTCCTCAACAGGAATACCCATATCGAGAGCAAATGACCCTCCGTGTTGGGAGTCACCCAGTTGATGGTTGACTTCCACAGAGGTGATAAGCTCGTGTGCTTTAGTATATCTAGCCTCGTGGAGCATCTCGAAGACCTTCTCATACTGCTCTTGGAGGATCTCATTCTTCATCACAATCTTGTTGTTCTGAGCCTCCAGCTTATCGACTTTAGCCTAAAGAGCAAGCTTCTTTTGTTCCTTCTTTTGTTGCTTCGCACTAGGTGCGAGGGGGTGTCATTCTGTGTGTTGTGGCATCCTTCACTTCCCATGTTGGAGAGGGATGCCTAGTCAAAAGAAAGTGTACAAATGGTGGAAACCAACTTGACAAAGCTGAAGAGAGTGGGAATAAATGTCGTTCTCACGGACGGCGCCAAATGTTGATGCACAAAATCAGTGAGGACTTTGGTACAACAGAAAGTGTCAAGTTTGTGACCTTCGCTAGATTGTTCCGGTCACTAGTGTGGATAAGTATGTAAATGGATAGAGACAGGAAAGCAAACACAAGATGTACGTGGTTCACCCAAATTGACTACGTCCACAGAGTAGAGGAGTTCTCATTAATTGTGAAGGGTTTACACAAGTACATAGGTTCAAGCTCTCCTTTAGTGAGTACTAGTGAATGATTTAGTACAAATGACATTAAGAAATATTGTGGGAGAATGATCTCCTTTTATAGAAAAGAGTTTCTAGCTTTGTTCTAATATTGTCACATGTCGTGTTGTGATTGGCTTCCGGTGTTGACACGTGTCGCGGTATGATTGGCTTCTGATGTCGACACGTGTCGCGCTGTGATTGGCCTTCTGGCTGGAGGGAAACTCTTGTAGATCCTTAACGGTATAACGTTGACCGGTGCTCAGTAATTTCAGGATTGGTTAAGTATGGTACAAACAAATTACAAATAAGATCATCGTTAGATCTTTAAACCAAACATATCAAAATGTTGCTAAGAAATGATATCAACAACAAAATAAGCAAACCCCGCACAAAAATGATGTAATTGTGCCTCAACGTAGCAAAATCATGAACATGCATTCCTAATCAATAAGTTAAAAGTTAATTTCATTTTGATCAAAAAAATATTTTCAATATTAAGAAATGATCATTAAAAAAATATCTCTTATTTAATTTTTGAGTTTGGCTCCAATACTTACATGTATTTAGTACAATCACCCTTTCAACGTTTAGAATTTAATTGCATTAAATACATGTAATTATTTTATCAAAATCCACAAAGAAACTGAAGACGTAGCAAACAAGAAATTACTAAAGCACCCAAAGGACTAGAGACATAGCAAAAGTTGGTTGAGTTGTGACCTAAAACAAGAGATTTAGAATTGAAACTTTATTAAAACTTGACATATTTTTTTTATTGAGAACACATGACGAAAAACAGACCAATTATTTTACAATTTCAAATTTTCATTCGAAAGTTGATAGTTCAGTCTGTGCAAAGAAGAGGCCAGAAGCTCCATTATCAGGCAGCAAAGCCAGCTTCACAGGACCTTTTGCAGCTTCTTCAGTTGTGAAGACTCCAGTGTGATTGTTCAAGTCCGTGTCGGTAAAACCCGGACACACGGCATTGATAGCAATTTTGCTGGAATACTTCTTAGCCAAAACTCTTGTGTAAGCATTCAGAGCGGCTTTGGATACAATGTAGGCAGAGAAATTGGTTGGCCAGCTTTTGGCTTCAACCAAATTCTGCTTCACATCCTCCAAAAATCCCTCAACAAGGTTGTCCACTTTCTCTTCTGTGAGGCTATCACCATCTACTAGCTCCTTCTTCGCTTTCTCGTTTGGAATAACCTAAAAAAATTGAAAAATTTATTCGATAATGTGATGTTATCTTGCATCTTATGTTATGTTGTTAGTCTAACAATGTGAATGGGAGATTTGAAACAAGGGTTTCGGACGTGTACCCTTAGTTGTCCCAATTGGGAGGAGACATTGACGATCCTTGCCGAGTCAGATTGTTGAAGAAGTGGAATGAGTGCTTCCGTGAGTTGCTTAATTCCATAGTAGTTTGTTTTTAAACAATCCCCTGCTGTCTCGTAGGTTTGTTTTAGGACTTGATTCTTATTTGCTGCTTTGGGACCTATAAGCTGCATGATCATTTGCTCTTGTGAATATGATGTGTATTATACAGTAATGTTCACTAAAGTTGATATATGTATTTCGATCTATTTTCTAACATCTTATTTTTACGGTCGAGGTCCTTGGTTTGAATCCCTCGATCCCTAACCCTGTTACATATTATTTATTATGTATATGGTTAGCTGAATCTGCAAGCCTCTCCGTGTGTAGATTTAAGCTACACGAGAGAAGGTACTAGATAGCTTGACGGACATTGTTAGAACCGTTCAACGGTTTAAGCTTTTGAGATCTAGCGATTCTTTGAACACAATGAATTTTCAAGAACTTACATCATCAATTGCCAACTTCTCTTTGTCGTCTGTGAGGAATATGGACCCGACAACTGCTGCATTATTTACCTGCAATATGAATAAAATATTTATATATGTTATAACCAGCAGATTACATATATTTTTAACAGGACGTCCGATGCTCTTATTATTTGAGCTACAAGCCTACAAGCCATTTAGAAATGCGTAGAAATAAGCTAGAGAAATTACCAAAATGTCAAGTTTTCCAAGTTGAGTTTTGAGAAATTCAGCCAGAGAGGCAATGCTAGATGGGTCAGTTACATCAAGCTGATGAAATACCACATCAGAGAGGCCATAAGAAGCCTTCAATTTCTCAACGGCTTCTGTTCCCCTCCTCACATCTCTTGCAGTTAACACCACCCCAACTCCATTAGCTGCTAATTGCCTGCTAATCTCAAATCCAATCCCTTTGTTGCCTCCAGTAACAACCGCAATCCTATGAAAAAAAAACCAAAATTAACATAACATTACTCAAATCATGACTAATCGGAAACTGTTCTCAGCAGTTAACACTCCAAAATAATCATTCATTCACTTGTCTCACGAACGAATAAACGAAAGATTGATGTACCTCTTAGACCCGAAACTGATTTCTGCCATTTTTGTCGTCGACTTGGATGTGGATGATAAATTTCAGATGGTTTACAAGGACTTCAATTGTATGTGCTTCACTGCTCGGTGTTCTTGGTCTGTATTTATAGTCAATCGGCTATTGATTTGTCAAAGTTGATTTGTCAAAGTTGGTCCAATCAATGAGTCGGTACCGGTCACGTATGCCATGACATAATTTTAGGGCTGGAAAAAAATCCCAAAAATCCCAAACCAAACCGAAAAAATCCCGATCCCAAACCAAAAAAATCCCAAACCAAAATTCCCGAAATTTTCAGTATGTCATCCCGAACCAAACCGAAATTTTCGGTATGGGATTTGGTTTTGCATCTCCATTTTTCGGTATTCCCATACCGAACCGAAAATAAATATTATATTATATATATTATTTTTTAATTATAAGAAAATTATTTCAACCGTTCATTGTTTTGGATTTAATCTATGCCGTTCATTTGTTTTTAGGTCTGATCTCCATTCTCCCATTTCATTTCTGTGTTATTCCATCGAACTCGAACGCAGCCCCTGAGCCTCCCTCACCGAGCCCTCATCTCCAACCCTTGACCCTCTTTGTGTCGAATTCCGGCCAGCCACCAGCCCACCACCACACCATACTATCGTCTCTGACTCTCCATCCTTCCTTCACCACACAGCCACCGTCACACCACCGCTCTCTCTCGCGATCTCTCTCTCTCGGGGCGATTTTCTCTCACAGACAGAAGTCACAGAACTCTCGATCCCAAATTAGGTAATTAATTTAGTGTTTTGAAATCTAATTTCTGTCTTCCTTTTGAAATTTAATTTAGGGTTTGGAATTAATTTTGTTTGCAGAGTTCACTTCTATTCAGTTTTGGGATCGTCTGCGGAAGCCATACTAAGCCCCAGTTTGGGGTTGAGGTGATTTTAAAAAAAGCTCCTATGAAAAAAAGCTGGGAGTGTTTTTGGTGTTTGGTAAACTTAAAAAAAAGGGCTTATTTTGGAAGCTGCTGTGAGAATAAGCTGAAATCAAAGGAAAAGCTGAAGCTGCAATTTGTAGCTTTGGAAAACTGGCTTTTTTTCAAAGCACACAGAACTACAGTGCTCCTTTAATGAAAAGATCCACTATCAGACTGTTTTTTTTTTCAAAAGCACTTTTACAAAAAAGTTTACCAAACACTCTGCTGATTTATTTCACAGCCGCTTATTCTCACAGCACAGCCGCTTATTCTCACAGCAGCTTTTTTTCAAAGCACAGCAATACCAAACCAGCCCTTAACTTAAGGTGAGACGTCAACATATCTCTGTCTTCTCCTTCTTCAATTTTTTATTTGGTGGTATTTCTCTGTTTTTGCTAAACTTGATTTTTGGGTCTGAAATTCAGAAGTACAAACCCATTTTAACTGCTAATACTAGGAACTGCTTCATGCATCATATGTATGATCGATTGCAAGACTAAAACAGTCACTTCTTAACCAATGAGCAGAAATTCATTTTTCATTTCGTTTAATGCATTGTTAATTTATAAGTACTCACGTTGATTTCTTGAATTTAGCTTAGCATATCAAAGAAAATAGACGCAAAGTTGCTTACAGGAGGCATATCCACGTGGTAGTTCATATGGTTGAAGGCAAGTGAAATGGGCTCGAAGGGCAAAACCATTCCTTTTTTGGCTTGATTTCTCACTTGCATATCAGTACGTGACATTGGTCATTTTGTATTAGACAATGAGATGTAAGTTTTATGCAGTAGGTTTTGTTATAATGCTTATCTAGCAATTCATTGTTTTTACAGCTAGGTGTGGTAAATAGATGAATGAGAGATGGAGTAACTCATTATTTATAATGCATATGCAAATTAAGATCCACAAGAAATATAACAGTATACCTTCTGGATTGGATTGTCGCTTGCTCTTATTTTCAGCGTCGTCATTATCGATTACGGTTTTATTATCTACAATTGCTGCAATTTAGTTAAAAGAGAAAGCAAATAATCAGAACTTAAACCAATGATCATGGTTTGCTAGTAGTACCAATGAGTAACTTAGCACATGGATTTGTAGAAGTTCAGAGGTTATATATTTTAATGATGCAGGGCAAAGTTTTGGAGTATTTATTTGAGTTTCATTTATTTGAGTTTCATTTATTTAGTAGAAATATACTTCTTCGCTTCATTCGGCGATCTAATTTGTGGTAGAACCCTTATGAACCTTTATGCAGGACAAACCCTTATGAACCTTTGCAGTGATGTTTTTTTACATATATCTTGTTTTAAACTTTTATATTCGTGCGTACAAAATTGAATAGGCAGATGCTATTGTGCACAGATGGGCAGTGGGCGGCAAATTGGTTATATACTATGGAAGTATGAAACTATGTCAAATTTGTGCACAGATTAGTAGAAACGCCTTGCCATTTGATTGGCAGATTTGATTGGTAGATTAGTAGAAACAAATTCGCAGATTGGGCCCAAAAGCATAATATGTCAAATTTTAGCCCAAAAGCATAATATGTCAAATTTTAGTCCAAAAACCCAAAACCATTTTGGGATTCCCGATTTGTCCCGAAATCCCGAAACTATTTCAGGATTCCCGAAAATTTGGTTTGGGATCGGGATTGAAATTTGGATTCCCGAAAATTTTAGTTTGGGAATCTGGACAAGGGTTTCAGTATGGGATCCCATACCGAACCACCCCTACATAATATGATATTTCCACTTTTACTGTTCTAATTAATCTAATTCTTAATAATGAATATATACATTTCAACACTTTCAATTACTTTTTGAGTTGAACATGTATTATTTTGGAGGACAAAAAAAATTTGAACTCGAAATCTGTTACAACTTTAGAAGAAAAGTATCGTTCTGCTTTTATATTTACAAGCTAGCGACTAGTTGTTAATTTATTATTCGTCATTGACATGTCAATTCAGTTTAGTCATGTGTTTAATGAAAACTTGATATGCATTGTTATCAATTTTTTAACACAGTAATTAGTGGGCTGATAATTGTTTTACATCGACATGACATTATAATTCCATTTGTAAGTGGTCTTCAACACGATTTTTGTTCCCTCTTTCTTTGTTAGTTTGCATGATGCAGTTGAGTTGCACGAAGATGTTTGACGAAGATATATATGCAAGCATTTTTAAAGAAAATATTTTTGGGCTCATTTGTTGTTCTATAAAAATTCATCACAGCCGCTGATTTTCAGGTATCAAAATGAAAGGCTCAGATTCGATCAAACCGGGTCATGCGCACGACCCAGATGCCTGTTTGGGTCAATTTGGGCCCAACAGCACCGGAAAGTAGGAGCATCCCAAACGTCCTCCTTAAACCCTAAACCAGTAAAACCCTTTCCTTTCCCCTCTCTCTTTGATCACCGACTCTCCGAGTCACAGACCAGTGACAGTCCCATTTTCCATTGGTGGATCCGACCCTGCTGGACCGCAAACTATGTCTGCCTCGATGCTTATGGAGCGTCCGAGACAGTTCTCCAAGCTTCTCTGCAGGCTCATTCTAACCCGACCCATGGGCGGCGGGCCTCGGACCTTCCCGGGCGGCGTCAGCAAGTGGAAATGGAAGCGCATGCACGAAAAGCGAGCCAAAGAGAAAGAGAAACGCCTTTTAGACCAAGAGAAACAGTTATACGAGGCCCGCCTCCGCTCCAAAATTCGGGCCAAAGTCGCCGGAAAGCCCGACCCGTTTTCGGGCACTGGAACCGGGCACAACCCGATGAACCCGAACCAGCACCTGAAGGTACTTGCCGATCGGTTCATGAAGGAAGGCGCAGAAGATTTGTGGAACGAAAAGGACGGGCCGATTGTTGAACCGCCCCCGTCGGTTCGACCGGACGGAACGACGAGATCGATTGCGCCGCCGCCACTGGACCTGAGAAAGCTGATATCGAAAGGTCGTGATTTGGCGGGAAAGAGGGACAGTGTAAATTTGAGTAATTTGGGTGGCAATTATGTTGGGAGCAGGAACTACTCGGCGCAGAGTCGAGGGCGATTTCGGAGAAATGATAGTTCTTCCGACGACTCGGATTTTGATTCGGACGGTGAGTCCGTACAGCCGTTTTCGAATGAGAATTCGAAATTTGGGAGAAATGTGATGAGATTTGGGAGTAGTGCTTCATTGGGAAAGTATGATATGAAGATCATTAAGAGGAGAGTGCCCCTTAATTCACTGGATGACGAAAATGATTTCCAACAGCAGGTGGAGGTGATCCGAAGCGAGCTCAATAAGAAAAAAGCCGTTGAAATCGAAAGAGAGGAGAGCCAAAAGGAGGTGTCAATTCTTAGCGAGAAGAGGTATGCAAGTAATGTGCTTTGGTTGATTGCATGTGGAACATTTGTGTTAACATGCTGAAAAGTTTTTGTCTTTGATGTGTTAAATGTTTGTCTTCTGATTGGTAATTCCTTTGGTTTTCGGCGTTTGGCAGATTTGATGAGTGTGGTATATCTCCATTGACAGTCAAGGCGCTCACTTCTGCCGGGTATGTTAAAATGACAAGGGTACAGGAGGTTGCTCTTTCTGTTTGCCTTGAAGGTCAGTTGGCTTCTTGTTTAAATGAGATCTTTGTTATATTTATTGCCTTACTAGTTAAATTCTAATCGAAAGTAAACTGAAACTGTTGCGATGGATATTGTCAAAATCGATATTCTGTTTTTCTTACTAAATTAGATAGAACGGTAACGTTTGTGATTCAAATCCCAGTGATCTTGGGGACGAATGAGATCCTAAGGCCTCTAGGGTATTTCCCATGGGACATTATGTCAACCAGTTTGTTGAAGGCCACATGTGGTGTGATTGATATTTAAGTTCTTGTTCCTCCAGTCCGAGTGACTTGAGAGAGCGGTGTGCTAATTGTTAGTAAAAACAACCAAATGCTATGTTTCCGATGATTTTCCTTTTAATTTGTGACAGGAAAAGATGCGTTGGTGAAAGCTAAAACAGGCACAGGCAAAACTGCAGCTTTTTTGGTATATCAATTTTCCTTTTTGTTACTTTGGAGTGGTTCATAGTAGTTTAGGTTCTCTTGTTTTGTTTCTCTTGTTAAACACAAACAGCTTCCTGCTATTGAAGCAGTTGTGAAGGCTATGGCTAGCAATACCAATCAACGGGTGTCTCCAGTTTTTGTTCTTATCCTCTGTCCCACAAGAGAACTCGCAAGTCAGATAGCTGCAGAGACAAATGTTTTATTGCGGTACCATGATGGCATAGGTATGCAAACACTAGTTGGAGGCACGCGATTCAAAGAAGACCAGAAATGTCTAGAATCAAATCCATGCCAGGTTTGTACACTGTCCTGATCATTGAAACTTGCAGCAAAAGTTTCGCTTGATTGTAGTGTGGATGTTATGAGAGTGAAAACCGTTCTACATATCTTTCGCAGATAATAGTTGCAACCCCTGGCAGGTTGCTAGACCACATTGAGAATAAATCAGGCTTGTCTGTGCGGTTGATGGGACTGAAAATGCTAATACTCGATGAAGCGGGCTACTTACTAGACCTAGGATTTCGAAAGGATATAGAGAAAATTGTTGACTGTTTGCCTCGTCGAAGGCAGTCCTTGCTCTTTACTGCAACACTTCCAAAAGAGGTTTGGCTATCCTTTATACTTCAACTCCGAAGCCTAAAGTAGCTTTTAATTTGTTACTGTAAACACTTGGTATGTTTTACTGAGTGAAACCCATAAGCCAGAATTTTCTTGATTACGAATGTGCAGGTTCGCCGAGTATCACAGCTTGTTTTGCAAAAGGACCATATTTTCGTTGACACAGTGGGTTTAGGTTCTGTTGAAACTCATGCTAAGGTATATATAATCTGATAAAAAAAAAAAAAAAACAGTCACGAGTTGGCTAGTTTTCACGATGGGAATTATGCTAAAACTTTTACATTTCTGTTCAGCCTTATAACTTGGAGAGTACTGGTGTGCACCATTTCAATTACTCTATTATTGATGATTGAAATAGTTCTGATAGTACCTGAATCATAAAATATGACAATGGGTGTCATGATGTCATGATCCTATCTCGTCTTGTGAATGCAGGTTAAGCAGTCATGTTTTGTTGTGCAACATGAATTACATTTCCAAATAGTGCACCAGCTTCTGATGGAACATATCTCTGAGTCACCTGATTATAAGGTTTGGTGTTATAGCCTTCTGGATTCAAATGTTTGGTTGTATTTTCTGTGCATGAGGCCTAACGTAAAACATTTCAGGTTATTGTTTTCTGTACAACTGGAATGGTAACATCCCTCCTCTATCATGTTCTCCATGAAATGAAAATGAATGTCAAGGAGATACATTCTAGGAAGCCTCAACTCTATCGAACTCGCATCTCTGAGGAATTCAGGGTATCGAAACGACTGATTCTTGTTACCTCTGATGTATCGGCACGTGGAATGAACTATCCTGATGTGACCTTGGTCATTCAGGTATTTGCAGCTCAAGAGAAATATTACTTTATGTTTTGCTTATAGGTTGAACCTTAATAATATCACTGACATGTGAACTATTAATATTTCTAACAGTCATATGTCCTAACCACAAAACATAGGAGGTCGCTCAGGTGGGTTCAAATTTATTTATTAGATTTACGTGGCAGCCTTGGGCACAATTTTTACAGTATGGTACCTACATTGTATATAATATCATCGTTTATGTTTAATGAAACTGGAAGTTCGTTGTTCTCACATTGAGTACTAATTATATAGTGTTCTTGAGTGTTAATTTCCTGGTCATTGCTATGATAATTCTTGACTCTTGGTCTCAAAATTTAGGACATGTTCGCGTCTATTAACTATTTCACATTTAACTAACAAAGAAAAAGACAAAAAAAAAAAAAAAAAAAATATAACTCATGAAAGTAATAACATGTGGTCTAACTGTAATCAGGTAGGTATTCCTTCTGACCGGGAACAATATATAAATCGTCTTGGAAGAACAGGAAGGGAAGGCAAAGAAGGACGAGGCATATTGTTACTTGCACCATGGGAGGAGTATTTTCTGGATGAATTAAAAGATTTGCCTTTGGAAAAATTTCCTTCGCTGCAATTGGATCGGGATACTAAGCTTAAGGTACTTGCATCACCTCCTTCGATGGTTTTCTTTGCTTTATGTTAGTGCATGCTGCACCTGAATCACATTATTTAGTTCAGAGGAGCTCACGGTTCTGAAATTGAAGTTCTTGAAGCAGTGTTCTCTTTTCATGGTCCAACGATTAATTAAAATGATTTATTGGTTCAATTTGTATCCTTCATTCGGTTTCAGTTTTCTGGAAATAGCAGTATCTCAATCCCAGCGGTGAACTAGTATATATGTCAAACAATTCCCATATTTGTGGTATCGATAGCTTGGTATCTGCATGTAGCTCGAAGGTTTTCATTACCTTGTTTGAATTATTTGTAATGCTCGGAACTTGCTTATTCTCTTAGATTGACGATTCGATGACCAAGATTGACACTAGCATCAAAGAAGCGGCATTTCATGCGTGGCTTGGGTATTATAACTCGATCAGGGAAACGGGCAGGGATAAGACCACACTTGTCGAGCAAGCCAACAAATTTTGTGAGTCAATTGGTTTGCAAAAACCTCCTTCTCTCTTTAGAAAGACAGCCTTGAAGATGGGTTTGAAAGACATACCTGGCATAAGAATACGAAAGTAGGGCGTAATTTGGGACACGGAAAAGCAACCTGGTGATTGAGCGGCGGGAACGGAATGACAAGAAGTCAAGGATCTTCATCGAATTCTCGTTTAACGGCGGTAAAACAGGTTCACCCAGTTCAAGTTGTTATTTCACATGAAAATTGTCTTAGGTGAATGCCTGGTATAGAACTGGTGTGAGGTCTGTATTGTAAACATTTGAATTATAATGTAAAGCCGCATTTTCTTCCTATACTCTAGTAAGTAAAAACGATGGCAATGACAGTTTTAACCCTAAACATAAATCTGGCAGAAGTTTACTCGTATCAAGAATAAAACTATTTAGTTCCTAGGCTGGTGTGTGAGCCTTAGGATCGGTAATTGCAGGGAGATTCTTAGGTATAACCGGAGATATGTCTACGTGGTAAGCACACATGACCATGATATATAGATATTCGTTAAAATCTTTTGTACTTACAACATGTTTACATGCGTAAAGGCGGACTAATAATGAATTACTAGGAAGAGAAATGTTGGGAAAATTCTCAAAGTGAGACTCTTCGTGGACTCCTTACCATCTCATATTTTTGGCACAATTTTTGTACCAACATTGTAAAACATTTTGCAAAAAACATGAGGTGGCAGAGAGTCCATGAAGAGTTCACTTTTGAGAGTCTCTTTAGCATTTCTCAATCAACATTGTAGAAGGGGTAATGCTAGGGAAATTAAATTTTTAGATAAAATTTGCAAACTAAATAATGCACCAGTATAAATGAGCACGTTCATCAATGTCTTAAGTCATAATCTAATTATCAACTTTCATGTCATTAAGTTTACATAACTTCGTTTGTAAATTTAGTCTCCTTACAAGCCCCATGAAGACCCAAACCCGGTTAGAAAAATTGTCATCCTTACCATAAAACCAATTGACTATATTGGGAGTAGCCCAACCTTTTATAAGCCTATACAAGATCTTTTCTCTTATCAATGTGGGATTCATTCTCAACAAGTCTTCTCACTTCTGACGAATTTTCAAGTCTAATACGTGAACAACACAATTGGGGTGATGTGGAGAACATGTGGTCGTTGGGATTCACATGTGCAACAACTTGGGCTCTGATATCATGAAGAAAGTTAAGGTTCCACCATTAAACCAATTGTCAATATATAGAATTACCCATCATCTTATAAGTCTATGTAAGGTCTCTTCTTCCATCAATGTGATCTCAACAATTACAAACTAGTAACGCATAACAACAGCAACCTTGCTCTTCTTGGAAACATTGACCATTTTTTGTTCTTAATTAGTTTTCAAATAGTATTACGAACTAGTAATGCTCCCCATAGAACTGTTTGCTCCGTCAAAAACTCTCACTCATCACTCTCTTTTCTATAAGTGGTGTGATCATATGAACGGAAAGACCTGCGTTTTAAAAGAGGGAGGAAGTTCTTACTTCTTAGATGGAACTGTCTGTTTCTGGCAATGCAAGATTACTTTATGGTGGTCAATATTTCCAAGAAGAACAAGGTTGCCGTTGTTGCCGAAGTTAATCCGACCAGAAGTAGTAGAAAGGTCGGTATATGTGTAAACGAAAGTCATACCAACTGAACCCTAAGACCTACTCCAACGATTAGAGTAAAACTTAAATGGGAGACTTTGGATGCGGTCCCTAGTTATGAACAATCTTTGACTGAAACCTTGTTGGTTTTCAATTTTTGATCCAAGTCCCTGAAATTAATTGATAATTTATTTCTATGTACGTTACTATATTTTTTAAATTAAAATTAAAATTTATAGTTGTTTATAGTAATGAGATTTTAAATAAAAAACCATAATTTGTGGGATTAAAAATATTAAAATATAAATATACTATTGTGTGTGTGTGTGTAAACATGGGTACATTCATAAAAAATAACCAAAAAATTATTGTATCAAAACATGGGTACATTCTTCAAAATAGGTACATTTAGCAAAAATAAAAATGGGTACAAATAAATAAAAAAATATAGGTACAATACAAATAAAACTTTAAAAAATATGGGCACAAAAAGAAATTAATATATGGGTACAAATTAAAACTGAAAGGAAAATTAGTACAAATTAAAAAAGGGTTGCAAATTAAAAATGGGTACAAACTAAAAATAAAAATATATGATAAAAAATTTAGCCATAAATATAAATATACTAATTGTAACATTTTTAATATTAAATGAATATATTTAGAAATAAAAAATATTTTATTATTGAAATAATTAATGATATTATTAATACAAAGGACCTTGATCAAAAATTGAAAAGTAATAAGGTTTTAATCAATAGAGTAGTAAAAATAAGGATGAAAACCTAATTACTCCAACTTAAATTTTAAGTTCTAAATTTACCCCAACTTGTTCAACCCTTGAGGCAAATATAAATTTGAACCCAAAACTTATTTATGGGACAAGTTTAGCTCAGGATTCGTCTGAGTTAGTGGGGCTGACTCACTATATATGTGTATTGTTTTTAGTTTTATATTTATAAATTCATTGAATCCAACTACTAAGATTTAACATGTATCAAATCTAACGGTAAAAGAAAAGAAGATCTAACGGTCCAAATTTAAATCCAACGGCTAAAGTAATTAAAAAAAATATTTTATGTGTTTCTATTTTTTTCATAGTGTTCCACGAGTTCCATAGTGTCAGTTTAGTGAAATTTTTACATTAAAATGTTCATAAAATTAAATTAGGATAGTCTACATAATTTTTTTTTAAAGTTACTTTAAAAAAAAATTATCCTAAATTCATTATTTAATAATCTCGAGCTAAAAATTCAACCAGAAAGGTTGGAAGAGAAAAAATGTTTCTAGATTAAAACCTAAATTTTATGAATTAAATTTTTAAAGTTTTAACGCAATAGTTGGAGATAGTCTAAGAATGTGGGGGTGGGTTCAAAAAACTGAAAACCGAAAACCGAAAAAAACCGAAAACCGAACCAAACCGAAACCGAAAAAACCGAACCGAACCGAACCGAATTCTTTTGGTTCGGTTCGGTTTTAGTGATCTAGAAACCGAACCAAACCGAATTAATTAAATTATTATTTTTTAATTATTTGTTTTGGGTATTATTTTCTAAACCCAATTTGTAAGTTAAAATGTGCTAAACCCAATGTGTTGCCAAACTTTAAGCTCAAAATATTTTAAAAAGGCCTATAAAAACTCTAAACCCTAACTTATTATTTCTCCCCCATATAAGGTTCCGGAACCAAACCTCATCCTGAAGTACCTACATCCATCTCCATAGCACTGTCTACTTCTGCCCCAGCTTTCTTTTCCAAATCTACTCTCATATAACATGTAACAGAATCCATAAACATTTGTTTCGGGTAGATTACTTGCATAATTTGTGATGGAAAATAATCCAACATACACTAAATAAATCCACCCACACATTACTTTTACTAATCAAGTTGTCAACATGCAATTACAAGCAAACAACCCTGATCTTTGAATAACATCATACAATTTAACTTTTCTAAGTCATTTGTACGATTTTTGTGTTGTGAGGTTGTTAGTTTGGACTTTGGAAGACTTGATTGATGATTTTAGTTCAACTTTAAATGTGTATTTTCATTGTCTTTGATTATAGTTAGAATGCTTATGTTATGATTGTGTTGGAGATGTTAAAATTTTAAATTTCAATGTTTTTCATTTTTTGAAAAAAACAAACAAAAAAAAAAACCGAAACCGAACCGAAAAAATGAACCGAACCGAACCGAATCGAAATTTCGGTTTGATTTCGATTTTGGTAAAAAACCGAACCGATTTAAACCGAACCCACCCGTATAAGAATGAGCAGCTATTTCAAGAACCAGCTTATCGCGAACAGCTTGTCTCGATTGATCCTCATCCGTCTCCACATTGGGTAAGCTATCAGCTAGCTATCCTTTGCCTTTGATGGTCTAATAGATTTTTTCATAATGCATATTAAATTATGGTTTTTCTCATAGAATGTTTTTTTTTTTTTTTTTTTTTTACTTTTTTTTTATTTTAATATAGAATTGCTCCTTCCTCTTTTATATTTTTCTAACTAAACATTTATGCTTTTTTAGATTTTTTTTAACCACGATATATTTATATAAGTGGTGGGCAAAATGTATAGATGCCATTTCAAACTTTGATGAACACGTTTTGCGGTCTTTGATTTTCTATTTATTTTCTTTTTAAAAAAATGGGGACAAACCACGGTTATCCACCTATTTCGGGGGCCGGGAAGACTCACAGAGTCATTTCAGTCTCCTCCTAGATCTCTTTACCCACTTTTAAAATTTGAATATATATTTATATTGGATAGTCGTATTCATACACCTATTTTTATTTCTCACACACCCTTCATAAATTTTGGTCATTGGTTTTCGTTATCATCAATTCATTTGATCTAACGGTCGAAAACTAAGAGGGTGTGTGAGAAGTAAAAGTAGGTGAGAATAGCACTACCATTTACATCCATGCAAAATAAGTGTCTCATCTTACCCTCTTCTAAATTTTATATTCTTACTTATTACTTTTTTAGTAACTTGATATAAGTCCAATTTTGTGAGTCATTATTGAGTTTATTCTCCTTTGTTGAGTTATGTCCATGCTTCTGTTATTATCCTTTTTATTAAATTATGATAAATGTCATCCCTTGTTTATTAGGTTTTTCTTCAAAAAAAAAAAAACTTTTTCCGCTCGTAATTCGTATCTCAATTTTTTCTTCTACCTCCATCACAGATTAACTGTGTTGTAGGTACTGTATATATATACCAGCATATATACTATTATTGAATTATAAATGTATGGAAGATAAAATTTCTATGAACAATTTTTATAAATGATAGGTAGATTAATTTTTATATATTTTCGTAATACTTTTATCAAAAATTAAATATATTTTATCAACCTATTATATATGCATTAATGGTTACTGTGCTAGAACAAAATAATCTGCATATAATTTGAGACACTACATGTATTAATTTTCTTGTTTTGAATTTGAATTTCATGACCATATATGTATTTGCTTTATTGCTTTAGAGAAGCACAAATTCTTTACCCTATCCTTGAAGAATGGAGGAGTACGGCTCCACTCGCAATTGAACAGCATGGACTTTATGCAACTTTGAGCTCTCAGGTTCACGTTAACATGATGTGAGTAGAGCAGCATATGCTCTCTCTCTCTCTCTCTCTCTCTCTCTCTCTCTCAAATTTTTTGGTTTATTTTTGCATGTCAGACA